TATTCTTATAGAAATTGCTTCACGTTGTTTTGAGAGTGATTAGTAGAAGAACAGTTGAATTATTTTAAAAATTATAAAAAAAATTGCTCTTTATTCTCTCAAGATTTATGTTAAGGGTTTCATTTGAATTGATGGAGGAAGGTATGGTAGGGGTGTTCAAAATGTCCAAAAGAACCAAACCAATCCATAACCAAACTGCTCCACATTTTAAAAATCGGTTTCATATTAACCTGTATTTTATTTTATAAACTAGTTATTTACCAAATCATAAAAATATTTGGTTATCCATAGCCAAACTGCTCTACAATTAAAGAACAAATAAGTAAATATTTGTGAGTTGTCCTTTTAACGGCGCTTATTCATCATCTTAAACATCTCAGAGACGCTAAGCCAATTGATTAATTTGTTTCCCTTTTCGTTATAATTTTTTAACTTTTGTCAATTCAAAGCCTTCGTCTTGTGAAATTGTGAGTTTACTCGGAGGTTTGTATGTGGTTATTTATTTATTTATTTTTTTGGGAAAAAAGTTGTTACGTTACATAAGAAGTGCTTTCTTCGGATGCGACCTTTCGATTTATGTGTAAATATTTTTTAAAAATAAATGTTTTCTACTTGAATTGCTTAACTTTTTCTGCTAGTTTATTGTTTGGAAGTTTGAGTCAATTGACTAATATAATAAGCATGATAAAAGATAATACTTACTTGTTCTTTGATTGTAGAGCAATTTAATTATGGATAACCAATTATTTTTGTGGTTTGGTAAATAACCAATTTATAAAATAAAATGCAGTTTCATGTGAAATCGATTTTTAAAATATGGAGCCGTTTAGTTATGGATTGGTTTGGTTCTTTTGGACATTTTGAACACCCCTATGTGCAATTAATTAGTAAAATATGTTTATATTTAATTTTATTTTATTACTTCTTTGTTTTCTTTTTTATTAGTAATTTTAAATCCTTTAAATATTAAATGGGGCTGAGATAATTTCTTCATGCCATTCAAAAAATTCCCTTGAATATTCTTGTACTTTTCATGATGATCGTTTTCTTTGTCTAGGCTGTTTCAGGATGCAATCCTTATCCATTTATCTTAGGGTGTGTTTGGTTGGAGGAAAATATTGAGATAGATGGGTAAGTGAGAAGTGGGAATATTGTAGCACCACGTTTGTTTGGGCCAGATTCCATAGTTACCTACCTAAATGACTTTCCTACCAAACCAGGAAGCATGTCTATTTTCATGGATATAGCTGGCTAAAGAATCCCTTTGAGGAAGTGGTATTGCTGAAAAGCAACCTGTTTCCCCACCTTGCAATTCAACCCAAAGACCAGCGTACCCTCTCTTAGGGGGTGGAGGAGGCATACGGACACCCTGGCTTTGCATTTGTTGGAGTGGAAAACCTTGTGGAGGTGGCATTGATGGAGGCCTAGTACCCATATTGAAACCAGTCGTTGAGCCGCTGCCAACAAGTGGTGGGGGTGGGAGAGATGGCATTCCACCAGGAGGTGCAGGTCTAGGACCATTTGCTGCCATAGGAGGTGGAGGCGGCAATGATCCTAGCATTGGAGGAGATGCACCAGGAGGTAGCCCTTGGGGAGGAGGAGGTGGTGGTGGTGGAGCTTGGGGTGGTAGGGGCATAGGCCTTGGTGGAACACCAGGTGCTGCTGTGCCATTGGCTGTAGAGGCAAGCTATGGTTTGTTTGCCTCTGGTGGCTTAGATTTAAAATACAACTGCAGCTGCAACAAGTATCAATCTCGTCATCAGTAATGGATGGGTGATGGTTGCTCACCGGAAACCTCGACACATCATTTCCAAAGACACAGATTTGTCCTTTTTTCTACAGATGGACGTTGGAAACAAACACTTTTTGCATATGGACGTTGGAAAATGATTTAGCAATCTACGGGTATATGGGTAGCAAGGCTGATCCAACTTTTTTAAAAAATAAGAGTATTTTTGTCATAACACATTTTTACCCATCTATATTTTACCAAAATCCAAATATAGACTTTACAAAAGTTACCTAATTTCTCCATTAAAATTTTTCCCTACCAAATAACTTTTTTTACATTTTCCTACCAAACCTATTTTCCAACCATTTCCCCACTAATCTCATTTCTCTATTACTCATAAAAAATTTCCCTCAACCAAACGCCTCCGTAAGATATTGCACCCCTGTAACGTTTTCTGTTAAATGAGAGGGTTAATAAAAACGATGTCATTTGCTAAATTGCTTTGTTTTTTGGCCACTTGCCTGGTGACAGACATAGTAACTAAACTTGGGGTGGACGTTAATATGGACAAAGGTTGGTGCCATCATGAATTTGATAAGATAAATTAGGGAGTCGATCCTTTCACGTGTTAATTAACATGATCATGTCATGTGGGGTAATCATAACTATATAGGGTGGGTTAATGGTGATAAAAGAGGAGAGAGAAAAAATTTAAAGATAAGAAGTTACACAATCATCACCGTTGATTTAATTATTAATGGTTAAGATCTTCCCACATGATACGATCATGTTAAATTAGACATAAGAGCATCCATTTCCGATAAATTAACACACAAGATATGCTTGTCTTTTTTTATTTTCTTTTTTGGTAACAGATCTGCTTGTCTTAAAACTTGATTACAAACAGAAATGCTATTTTCTAAGAATTTTTGTTTTACAAAAAAGTATCACGTATGCTGAATAAAAGCATGAGTGGATAGAGAAAAAACAAGGTTAAAAAGCGAAATTAATTGGCAATTTTTTTTCTTTTTGTTAGTTTGCTAACTTTGGAATAGAAGTGATGGGGCTTTTTGACCACTGTAGCCCTTCTTTAATAATTAATTATCAAATTAATTTTGATTATAAACTATTTCAAAAATTTAACCTCTCCAAAAAGCATAACACTAATTTGTCTATGTTTGACCGATGACCATTAAGTCTACCCGGGTATCCTCCTCTTTACTCGGATATTTTTTGAAAATTTTACGCTACTCAAATAATCAAGGAAATACCTGATATATTTCAAAAAACTAAAAAAATACTTGAATTATTTACCTGGGTAGGAAGGGAGCTACCGCGTAAATTTCACCCAAAATTGCTTCCGGCCATATACATTCGCAAATGGGTGGAACTCAAAAAAAGAGCAGGGAGTCTTTTGTTTCCGGCCACAAGTCCCATAAGAATAACGTAGGGGCATGCATGGAATCTGAATGAACTAAGGTATCACATAAACTTAACATTGTACTGGTGTTCACATGTTGTCTACCAGTCGAAGCTGTCTAAAAGGCCATATATATAGACCTTCTACTTTGATTTGAGCACCACCAACATTGTATTCGTTGTCAAACACATCATGGAATATAACTACCCCCTGATAAAAGAGCATGAAAAGAGAAAAAAAAAATTCAGAAGAATAAGCATTTGACATGACTGAAAAGTCTATAAATTTTCACTAAAACAACATAGTATTGTTTAGTGTGATGAAAGGGTAATGTATTTGGTTTTATGATCTCAAAAATATAGTGTTCAACCCTGGATTGAATTATGATAATATGCATACATATACATAATACACATACACTAGAAGCATGAAAAACAGACATTCAAAATACACTTGATTCAGAAACAGTGACAGACACTATACAAAATATGATCCCCAGCAGCTCTAGGATCTGTACAGATTATCATCCTCTCTACCCCTGAAATATGAATACGGATACTCATACATGCTTGGTGCCAGAGGCGGATAATGTGAGCCAGACAGCGACAGCGGAAGGTACAAGATTGATTGAGAAGATGCAGAAGAGGGATAACGAAATTTATCCGGATAATCCCCTTCTTATATCGGTAAATAATTCAAGCATTTTTCCAGTTTTTTGAAATATATCAGAGTATCTCTTTGACTACTCGAATAGGGTAAAATTTTTAAAAAATACCCCGGTAGAAAGGAGATATCCGGTAGGCTTAATGGTCAACGGTCAAACAGGAACAGATTGATGTTATGTATTTTTGGAGAAGTTAAATTTTTGAAATAGTTTACAATTCAATTTGGTAATTAATTATTAAAGAAGGACTTCAGTGGTCAAAAAGTCAAAGTGATGGTGCTGGTGTTTTTCTTTTTGTTAATTGTTTTGCGAAGACAAATTCTTATCATTTAGTATTTTTTAATAGGGTTTGTTTTTTCTGATGTTACTTTAGATAACTTTATCTAATGTTCATCAAAACGACGTCGTTTTGGGACGGAAATCATGGTATTTTTGTAATTTTAATTTATTTCAGGGTTATAATAGTCTTTATCACTCTAATTTTTTAATTTTTCAACCCCAAAACAACGTCGTTTCAATGAACATTAGATAAAGTTATCTAAAGTAACATCGAAAACTTTTTTCCCTTTAATAATACGTAAATCTGGTTGATAGAATGCAAAAGTTCTTTTTTAAAAAAAAAACTCTTATTTAATATAATATCTCTTTCAAACTTGCAGGCATAATATTACGATGTAATTTATGCTTTCCATACTACATTACAACCATATGTCAGAATCTTCTATAATAACAAAGAAGCTGAAATCATGTTATTTTTGTCACCAAGAAATAATATTAATGCAAGAGCTCACTTTCAATTTTCAGTTATTACTCTTGAGTTAAGAGTTACCAATCAAGAGAAAAACCAATGCTAGAGCTCGACACTTTACCCATTCAAAAAGTGGTGATCGTTCCCTTGGTTGATGCTTCTCTTGTAAGGTCCTATAGCATGAAGGTTCACTGGCTCAATAGAAGTGAAGAAAATCCGTATACCTATAGGTAGCCTTATTCTTGTATCTTTGCACGAAGGCTATTTCTTGGATTCATAACGAGTAACCATGACCTCTCGGTCACAAAGGAGAAGCTTTAAGTGCACCAAAATTCAAATGATAAAAGAAAAAGTTCTAGAAAACACTAATTTGCTTGTAGTTAGTAATGTTACTGAATATGTATGCAAATGAATATCAGAACTAGCAATACTACTTTTATTACATATAGAAGGACATGAAGGATAATGTTTCATAGCTGCAAAAAATCAAATTTTCAGTTTATGCTAAAAAATGAGCACAACATGAAACACAACACCAGCAAAATTTGTAGTATCCTTGGCCAACAACATGAAATTTTCAAAATTTCAGGTAACTTGTAAAAATTTTGAATACTGGAAGAAACATCTTTCCAAGAAACAACATACATCACTTCATTCCAAAACAACTTTTGCACCAAGAGCTTTCATTTTCTCTATTATCTGTTCTCCTTCTTCCTTTGAAACACCTTTCTTAATAATAGAAGGTGTTTTTTCGACCAAATCCTTTGCCTCCTTCAAACCTAAATCAGTAAAACCGCGAACCTCCTTGATGACTTTAATTTTCGAAGCCGCTTCATAGGACTCCAGTTTCAATTCAAATACAGTTTTTTCTGGCTTTTGCTCCTCCTTGGCTGCTGCTGGTGCTTTTGTTGCCATTCCGGCCAAACTCGCAGCTCCGGGTTTCATAAACCCCACGTTAGGCAACTCCTTAATCCCCATTTTCTTCATCAGAATGAGACCCAATTCGGCAGCTTCGGCTAGCGTAAGAGATGCCATTTCATCAACAAGCCTGAAAACTCTTTCTGATGGGGGGCTATGATGCTCAGTAGGATCAAATGTTGCAGGGTCAAAATCAGCTGGGAGACTTCTTTGGTCGATTTCCACTTCCTCGACATCCTCCTCCTCCTCTTTCCTTGCAGCTTGACCAAGATTTCTTGAAAATACTTTAACATTACTAGCATTAAGCCCTACCACAGTTCGATGAAAAGGTTGTCTATATAAACCATTCGGTAAATAATGCCTTATTCTTAAAAGCAAGTTCATTCTTGGTGTGTAAGGTTGCTATATCTCAGAATGGAAAATCAGCCCAGTATAACACACATTGTAAACTCCTATTCCAGTAAATAAATATCCTGAAACCAGAACAAAACAGAACATTTTGTTTAAATATCATCATCCAAAGCTTGTTGAAATATTGTTCATCTTATATGAATCAAACTTTCAACTAACATCATTAGAAAACCAGCTACAATCACAGAATCGGAAGGAAAAAGTTGTGCAAGAGTCCTGAAAATTGCATGGTGTTTAAAGTAAATTACTAAATTTGAAAGAAAGATGGACCCAACACTGCATATTCTCATGTCATGGATGATTTCATAGAAATAAACAGTTCTTGAAGAATTTAGAACCCACTTGAAGTCAAAAGCTTAACAAAATGGAAATATAAGAATGAGGAACAGATAGAAAACGCATGAAACCACAAATTACACAACAAATTAATCCCCTAAGCATAACTGCCAAACCTTATATAAGCCAAGCAAAAGTCAACACTTCCATGCATCCTTCATCATACCCCCACAACAATGAACAGGCACACCAAAAATAAGTTCTCAGACCAAAAATAAGTTCTAATACCAAAAATAAAATGTACGACATGTACACCAAGTTATGAAACTCAAACAAGAAGTTAATAGAATAATACAAAGAATAAATAAATAAATAAAATTTCAAGAGTTTTGCCACTGAAACAGAACATTAAACTTCGAAAACATCAAATCATCATTCCAAGGGAACCACTTGCAGAGACAGCTATACCAAATCCAAGATTAAAAAAAAATACTTTTTAATCTTGTTTGCAGCAACAGGCAAAACAAAACATCATTCAACCCCAAAATCAAATACCAAAAAAAATAAAAATAAAAATTAACATTTTTGACAAAAACCCAAAATTCTTTTCTCAAATTTATGACTGCCCAGAAAGAATAAATCTTAAAATCATTGAGCAGAATGAAGAACAGGAGAGACTCAAATTCTTACCTTAATCGATTTCAGACCTCGTAATGCAAGCTTTAAAATCGGACAGAAATGGTGCCAAGGGTTTGGTTCGGAATTTTGTTATGGGTGAGTGAGATTAGGTTCCAGTTTCAGTCCAAGAATTCAGTGAAAAACGTAGTTGGAATGTGGGTGGGTCATATTTTGGACTGGACCGGGTTTTTAAATCTGCCCGACCCACCAACCTTTGCGTCAACTATTTATGTATTACCAGATTATTATACACGCAGAAAATAAATAATTCATACTTTAAAATTATTAACTGAAAAATAAAATCCAAATTTTAGAAGTAGATAGATTTTACCCTTGATCTTCAAACATAGTTTCCTTTTAATACAAATCAAATATTTAAATATTTGCATTAAAGGTGCATGCATGCACTTTATCAAAATGAAACTGTATAAAATTATTAATTAGTGATAAAAACATGATAGGAATGAAAACTTATAAATGTATAGAATGAAAACTTAGTAATATGGAATTGCTGGCTGTGTAGGCTGTAGCTATAAGTAATAGTGACAATAATGCTGCTCCGAAGTGTTAGCCTAAGAAACATAGATAAGATATGTCATATTTGCATAATGCATAATAGTGACAATAATGCTGCTCCGAAGTGTTACCCCGAAGTCAAAAAAATCTCTCCCCATACGAGATTAATGTTTTTCTAGCAACAGACATAAAATTATCTATTGCAAATTCAAAGCAATATAATTTTGTGATTTACAAAAAGGGATAGGATATTTTAACAACTAATTAGTGTTACTATCAATGTTACTACCAATCAATTTTATTGTTATATCGATTATGTTGATCCAACGATTTTATTTATTTTCATCTTTGTATAGTTATGATTTTTCATATTTAATGTGAAAGTATTAAATATAGAAAATCATAACTATAAATATAAAGTATTAAATATGAAAAATAATAATCGTACAAAGATAAAAATAAATATAACCGTTGGATCAACATAATCGATCTAACGGTGAAATTGATTCGTAGTAACATTGATAGTAACACTAATTAGTTATTACAATATCCTATCCCTTAAAAATATATATATAAGGGATTTTTGTAAAATTCATTATACAATAAGAAAGTAAAAATTTCAGAATATACTTTTTTTTTTAAATCTCAAATAACATCGTTTTGAAATGGCCTGTGATAACTTTATCTGTCCTTCCACACCAGATTAACTTGTTCATTTCCACATATTCCTCCTATTAAGTTTTTTTTTTTTTTTGTTCATTGTTGTAAACGAAACGTTTTAAAACTAACCCTTGCTATATAATATTTTATCATTTATTGTGTTTTTTTTAAATCACTTGGTCCAGTTTTAACTGCGTCAAAGATAGACTTGATTAAAAAAAATTCACAAAGAGATAAGTGATAAAAAAAAATGCAGAGATAAATAATTTTGAAACAAACCACATGAGAATTTTTGAACATTTTCCTATTTTTTACTATTTCATTAATTTCGCATATTACAAAATAAAAAGTTTATTCTATTCCATCATAAAATATTCAATCGATGATATAATTATTTTATTTTATTTTATCATTTTCTATTTCATTCCTCTCTTTATTACATATATAAATATAACTTGAAGGAACTGCATTTAAGAAGAAGAAAAAATGTGAATCTCATAATCCTCATTTTGAGAGCGAAAGAATTTTAAGATACTTTAGAAAAAGGAGACGGATAGTCTTGTTAAAAGGATATGTTTCAAACAAATTTTAACAACAAATGGTGTTAAAATATTAATTTACATAAAAGAAATTCTAGAAAAATTATGGCTTGATTGTTGTAAAATAAGATAATTTTTAAACAAAATTATTAAAGAGGGCAACCATAAATTCACATCAAGTTCAAACTCATACTTAAATATAATATGATAAATTTACATTTTACTTCTAGTAAAATTGGCAACAGAGTATAAACCACAAACAATTTTTGTTGCATTAAAGCATGGGAATCAACTCTTCAAATTTACGGAACATAATTAGATCATGTTATAATTTACTCTACGGATTCACACTGATCATATTCCCTGCTGAATTGAAAATAAATTAGTAAAAAAACTTCAAAACAAAGGTTTGTGCCGCTTATCCACTTGCTTCTCGCTCTTTATTTCTCATCAAGACATACCATAACTAAATATGAAAATACAAATTTGTTATCCAATCATCAATTTTATCCCAGCATTTCTTTCTCCAGAAGTGTTAGTATTACTATTGCAGCATATACAAATCACAGCACATTATATCGTTCCCCACCAAAAGTTTTAACGAAATAACTGCTAACAACAACATTAACTTAATAAGAAAGAAAACCATGAAAATGTATTTAGGAAAGTCTAGGACAAATTTGACAGAACCAAAATCTAAAGGATCAATTTATAAAATAACAACCCAGAATACTCCCACGAAATCATAGTGGTGTCTTCCTTCAGAACCCCAGGGAAAAAAATTTCCCCGATGTTCTATTCATATAAACTTTAATTCCCCTCAGCATCAGTTGCAGCAAATTGCGACTGCCCCAATAACAGTTTGGTAGCTTCTTTTACACTCAACTGCAACCATAGTTTAGTTTCTATCACAGCTTATCATTTTGGATGTTTTCATATTTCAAAAGTATTTCTTTTCATAAGAAACCAGCCCATGAACTCCACCTTCAACCTGTGCTGCTCCAGTCCGGACCTGCGCAGAGCAGACCAAATATTAAGAACATAATAAAGTAAAACCCCAATTTGGTCATGGAAAAATAGAATATTAATTTTTCCTCGAAAGAGTATGACATAAAGTTGATCCTTGAATGACATTTTTTACATAAAAATAAACCAAAAAGTTATTGTTACCGGGGCCAAACTGCTATCATTTGATAACAAGAGATAGTCGTTTGAGGTCAGTTTACTCCAATGTAATTTAAATGAAATCTCAAGCAAAGTTGCATATTGCGGAATAAAATAAAATTGGAGAGTCCCCTTGGACAACCCACAATAATATTTAAGCTTTTCCATCAATTGAATCAATTCAAGTAATTTGAAATTTTAACAAAAGAAACAGTGCTTTTCCTCTGTTTTTCATTCAAGATGCTTTTAGGATCAGAAACAGATTCATTTTTTAGTCCCAACTTCCATTGGATTAATCCTTCCCAGCAGAAAGTAAAATTATCTTAAATCAATACTAACTAACTACTGTAATATTTTTACCCCCTTTACTTGTTTTATTGGTTTAAGAATGAAATATCAAACAAAACAAGGGTTTTCTTTTCAGAAAACTAATATCCTACCTTTTCTAAGGGAAGTTAATCAGTCATGAAAATTAATAAATAAATAAAAATGAACAAAGCTAATAGATAAGTTCAATAGGAGATTGGGAAGTCAGTGAACAAACAGCATCACCTATTTTGATTGTGCAAATGATGCAGCTTCATGACAGTTAATGCTAATAACCAGAGTAAGAAATAAATAACTGGAAGTGCTGGTCAACCATACCTCTAGCCTTGTCACCCTGGATCTTAGAAGGTCATGAGCAGACTGCAGGGAGGAGGCACCGATATCTTGAAACCCTTGCTTGACTGCTTGCAAGGTGTATGGTATAAACTTCAAGACAGAACCTTTATCTTTAACTGCTCCAACAACCCCCTGTGCAATTTTTAGCTTTGCTGTATCACCCAAGTACCTTGCATCACTCCCCTTGGTCATAGCTTCTAGGGAACCCATTCCCCTGTACTTTTTTACACGTTGACCATTCTGGTGCAGAAAAAATAGTTATGTAATTATGCATATTATTACCAAATTTATTATTGCTTGAGCATGTATAAGTAATCAACCAAAGAAAGAGGCATTAACAAAATAGTGAAACTAAAAGACATGAAAGAAAAGGAAACCACTACAAAAAGAGTGAGAAATATAAGCACATTTTCATAAATGTGACACACTAACAACATATTGTTTCTAGAAGCATCCCACAAAAACATCAGAAGTTTTTATTTTGTATAATTTGTCATACTTACAGCATGTAAAAGGGCCAGCTATTTGTTAAAATGGACAAATCCAATAATAATAAAAGAAACCCTTTCACTTCTAGTACAACAAAAAGACTTCTTACAAATAACAACATTGTACCATAAATAAACATAGTAAAGATGTTTCGCAAAATACTCTCCCACTATATCAGTATCCACACTAAAAATTAAAAGTTAAAAAGTTCTAATCCTCTTCCCACTTTCCATCCATTTCTAACCAATAAAGTTTTCACCTTTTAACACACTATTACTAACTCACCTTTAACCACAGGCATTGCACATCCTTCCTCTTTTCTCTATTTCTAAAATGATTTTCTTTGCAACATTAAATATATGCTAATAACATACAAACAGCATAAACTTTTTAACGCATCAAGAAGCAATAACAATTCAAAAGATTCCCCCTGTTCTCTATTTCTAGAAAGGTTTTCTTTACAACACTTCACACCCAATATGCTGATAACATATACAAGGCATGAACTTTAAACACACAACGAGTCAATCACAATTCACAAGAATCTATCAGGCTTCCATACCTGATATTCATAAGCCCCAGGAGCCTCAGTGCTACCGGCTAAGAAGCTTCCCATCATAACAGTAGATGCTCCCAATGACAAAGCCTTGACAATATGACCAGAGTTTGAGATGCCACCATCAGCAATCACAGGAACACCGCTTTTGTAAGCAATGGATGAGACCTTGTAAACAGCAGTTGCCTGAAAAGCATAAACTCTATATTAATAATTGAGGCATTGAGCACAAGCTGGAATTTGTTAGCAGGAACAAGGATGGGTGTCAGATTCCACAACACTTGAAACTTGAATGCACTATCAAAAGTCTATACACACTTAAGCTACTCAAAACAAACTTTTGTATCCAATAAGTCAGAAAATCATCACTACCTAATGCCAAATGAAAAAAGTAGTTCAAATTTTTACGCATATAAGGGTCATTGATCTATGGCCTTTAATATTTTGTTAAAAAAGGATTAGGGAAAGGAGAAGTTGTTCCCTTCCAAGGTCAGGATATGCCATGCGAGCCCCATCAAGTGCTTTCAGTGGTAATCATAGAAGACCTCCTTAATGAACGGATAAATTTTCAGTACCCCCAAAATGCTACACCCACTAAAATTAGAAAAAAAGACTCACCTGACTGCATTTATTATTTATTTCTAATTTTAGAACTGGGGTATATACACAAGAGTACTGCAAATCTACTCTCAAAAAAGGGCCACGGGCAAGAACGAATATCTCAATCCTACTAGTTAAACCAACCCTCAACAGCCATTGCTAATACTTAAAACTCAAGCCTGCTCAAAACTCATGGATTTATCAAAAACTCATCGCAATCCAAAGCCAAATGCAACAAATAGTTCATAAATTAAATTCTACAGGCAACAAATAGTTTATAAATTAAATTCTACAGGCAACAAAGATAAAAGAGACCATCAGCAAGAGACCAATTAATGGGAAATCAATCATACCTGACCACGCCCAACTGCACAGACCTCTTGAGTGGTGCAAATAGACCCAGACCCCATACCAACCCTCAACCCATCAACACCAGCTTGAATCAAATTCTCAGCCTGATACATAGTCACCACATTCCCACCAATCACATCCAACTCAGGATACACCTTCTTCACATACTTTATCATATCCAATTGATAAACAGAGTTCCCCTGTGAGCTATCCAAAACCACCACATTCACCCCAGCCTTCACCAAATGCTCCAACCTCTCCTTATCTTCCTCCCTCGTCCCAATTGCCGCGCCCACCATCCACTCTCCGTCCGCCCCTACAGACCCCACCGCCGGCAACCTCGGATACCCTTTCACCCTCTCAACGTCCTCCTTCATCACCATATCCACCACCTCACCATCCCTCACCAAAGCCGCCGAATTCGCCTCCTTCTCTCTCAATTCCTCCTCAATTCGCGCCAAATCGGCGTCCCACGTCAGTGCCACCGGCACTTTCGCCATGTAATCGGAAACCCTAGTGCCCTTGTCGTTTTGATTGGCCCAGTCAGCCCTCGAGACATACCCGAGGAGCTTCGACTTCGCGTTGCCGGATTCGGTTACGAGGATGAAGGGCGAGTCGGAGAAGTTCTCGCCGGATTCGATGGCGGCAGAGGGCGAGCAGAATACGGGGTCAGAGACAATAGGGACGCGGTGAGACTTGGCGGCGCGGACGCAGGAGGCTTGGCGGGAGGGAGTGGTGTTAGAGTGGACGATGGCGATGCCGCCGAGGGCCGCCATGGAGACGGCCATCGCCGCCTCAGAGACGGTGTCCATGGGGGAGGCGACGAGAGGGGTGGAGAGGCGGAGGTTTCGGGTGAGGTTGGTGGAGAGGTCGACGGCGTCGGCGGCGAAGTCGATGTAGTGAGGGAGGAAGATGACGTCGTCGTAGGTGTAGGAGAAGCCCTGGTTGAAGAGCTTCTCCGCCGTGAAACCGTCCTCGATTGGCGGCGGAGTGAAGTCCATTCTGCTACTGTGGCGGTGGTTGCCGGAGAAGAGAAGAGGGTTCAGCTAGGGTTGCGCGGTTTATGGGTTTTTCTTTTACAACAAAATAGAAATAAAAAATATTTTTTGGCTTAGTAAAAAATAATAATGCTATGCATGCCTATAGTGAGACCAGGGAAGAGTGCTTGTTTTTTAACTGATATAAGTTAAACCGAATGATATATAGACCGGCTAAACTGAATGATATATAGACCAGTTTTTATTTTTAAATAAGGGAAAATAAACCACTGTTAGCTACTAATAAGTCTGGGTGTAGAAACACTCATCAAATCTTGCAGGGAGATTCCAATCTTGAGAGAAGGACAGATTAGCAAGCCAGTGGGCAACTCTATTGGCTTCCTATGGGTGTGGGAAATTTTAATTGTCCAGGAACATTTAATGATCGGTTTTTTTATTATTGTAGTACTTTATTAATAAATATTTATCAAATTGTCTTCGATTAGAAATTATTTCAAAAAATTAACTTTCCTAAAAAACATAACACCAATCTGTCCATGTTTGACCGTTGACCATGAAACCTATCCGAGTATCTCCCTCCATACCTGGATTTTTTTTGAAAAATCAACCCTACCCGGGTATGTAGGGGATACCCGGGTAGTGTTCTTAAATCTGGAAAAAAAAATTGAATTATTTACCCGGGTAGGGAGGGGGATACCAGGGTAGATTGCGCGAATAGAGTTTATTAAAAACTCAGCAGCCCCCATTTGGAAAACCCACAAAGGGGTACCCGGGTAGAGAGCTGCTGGAGTGCGATTTCATCCATTCTCTGAGCACATTTGTTGGATCATTTCAAGACTTTCGGATCATCCTTGGCGCACGGTATTGGTTCCTTCTACCGATTGAAATTCAAGAAATGTAATTTTTTTTCCGTTTGAATTTTTGATTCAACATAAAATCCATTCTGACTTTGATGTAATCATGTTTGCATTTTAATTTATTGCTTTGCGTATTGTGAATTTTTGTTTTCAAATTGCATTCTGATTTGTTGCCAATTAAAAACCCTAACCCTAACCCTGTATATTGTTTCTGAATTTTCTTTTTTATTTTGATTTTGTTTTACAGTGTGACTGCATGGAGGATAGACGTTTTTCGAAGAAGAAAGCGGTGGATACCGAAGGGAGGAGCAAGCGCCGACATGATGGATCTTCCTCCTCTCAGCCCCAAGCTGATGTGCATCAGGCTCCGGACCTGCCGTTCGGATATTTATTTGAGGATGACGTTGATGCACACGAGAGGTTTGTAAAGTCATTCATGAGCCGCAAAATTTGTGAGTCGAAATCACTGGATTCGGCGTTCTTCAATTTGGAGCGGTTCGACATAGTCCCACTTCTTCAGCAAACACATTTGCTGGTGCTTGCAGAGATGAGGTGCCCGTACTCGGAGGTCATGGTGAGAGAATTCTACCAGAACTTGAGCTATGTTCATGGTGAGCTGAGTTCCCGTGTCTGCGGGATTAATATCATCCTTACTGCTCCTATCTGGACAGAGTTGCTAGGGTTCGACTTCGATGGTGTGACAGGGGCAGCACTATATGACGAAGACAACCATCATATATTTGGTGGTTATGATCGGGAAGCTGTTGTGGCTGAGACCAGGAGAGCATATGCAGAGGCCGGACAATTTTCTCATTATCCTGTGAGCAATTTGTCTGTGTCTGCCCGCATACTTCATTATGTGGTGACACACATTATTTTCCAGCGCCCTCATAATCACTCGAAGGGGCTGGAAGGTGACTTTGTGATCTTGTGGGCCCTCCTTCACCATATTGAGGTGAACTGGAGGCAGTACATATGCATACTGATGTGGAAGGCGGCCAAACCAAAGAAGGCTGAATTGCCTTTTGCATTCCTGGTGCAGAAGATTCTGCATAAATTTGGTGTGCCTATGGCAACAGAGACCATGAAGACAGCCACAGGCTAGAATGCTATATTTCGTGAGCGGCTCCTGAAGCAGTGTGGGATTTTGCAGAGCCGAGCGGGTATCTGGTACTGGAAGAGGGCACCAGAATCACCTGAGATCTCACTCCACCACGATGGTGAGATGGAGGATGCACCTGCAGGTAAATGTATTTTGGGTTTAGGGTAGCAGTAGGGTTAATGTTTTTGCATATCGAAAATTTAATGTCTATTTTTTATGATGTTGATGCAGGCCTTGATGATGATGACGAAGATGATGTTGCTGCTGTTGTTGATCCCACTCCTGCACGTCCCACCCGCATCCGGCGACCACCAGCTCCTCCATCTCTTGAGGGTGGATGGACAGCTCCTGAGGGAAGATGGACACTTGATCATGTGATGTCCTCCATGTATACCCTGACATGTGGCCTTGACTCCTTGTCCACTGAGTTTAAGGGCTATAGACAAAGCACAAGCAAGTGGCAAACAACGATCGAAAGCAGGGTGACACGCTTGGAGGCTGGAAGCCAAGGGGGTCATCACACTGGTGAGGAGGCTGATGTTGCTGGTGAGAATGACAATGATGAGGACGAGGACGATGATGGGGAGGATACACAATCGGATTCTAGGCAGTAAGGTTTAGGGTGACATGGCTGGGGTAGATTTGACTTGATGTATTTTGTGTTTGTTAGGCGGTTATCTTGGATTATTGTGTATGTATGCAGCCCATTTTTGGTGATATTGGGTTTTATCTCATGATGTAATCATGTCTTTTTTGAAATATATGAAGAACCCAGTTATGAAATTTGGTGTTTTTTAACTTGTATTGTATTGTCCAAGTTTTGAATGAAATTTGAAGTAAATTCTATGTCAATTTTTAACTTGCATACCTCGGAATTTCATTCGTGCACATCAACCTATCTGATTATAGTATGTGCCCAATTTTGTTATCAACAAGTCATATTGTATCTTATTATCAAATAACATGGACCTGTAATGCCAAAAGAAGGGTGGAGCAGCTGCTGATCTTGCAAAACCAACCGGTCTACCCGGGTAACTCGCATTGGTGTACCCAGGTAGGGTGTACCCGGGTATCCCCCTCCATACCCGGGTAAATAATTCAATTTTTTTCCAGATTTAAGAACACTACCCGGGTATCCCCCTCCATACCCGGGTAAATAATTCAATTTTTTCCAGATTTAAGAACACTACCCGGGTATCCCCCTCCATACCCGGGTAGGGTTAATTTTTCAAAAAAATACCCGGGTATGGAGGGGGATACCCGGGTAGGTTTCGTGGTCAACGGTCAAACAGGGACAGATTGGTGTTATGTTTTTTGGGAAGGTTAATTTTTTGAAATAGTTTCTAATCGAGGGCAATTTGGTAAATAATTATTAATAAAGGGCTACAGTGGTCAAAAAGCCTTTAATGATCAGTTCGATCTTCACTACCAAGGAATAGCAAGGTTTGTGAGACTCACCCATCAGTCAAGAGTTTTATCATAGTGATAAGAGTCTCCTTCAAGTCAAATGGTTTTGTAACCAGATCTCTAGGCATTGTCAAGCCCAATAAAGACACCCCACAATTCAGCCACCAGAGAAATACCCCTACCTAGATTCTTGGAAAAACCCATTAGCTATCTGCCATTGTTGTCTTGCAGCACACCTCCACATCCCTTTTTCCTAGATTCCCATTTACAGGCACCATTAGAATTAAGTTTAGTTCAACCAACGGGAGGAAAATTCCAATTAATAAGTATTTCATGTTTCCAATTCGGAGAAAGCCCTACACATGAAAGGGTTCTTTCAGCAACTAAGATATTTTCTGTAAAGGATTTGGCATGAGCAATCACACTCTCCTACGACTTGTTGCAACCATTAAAGACAAGTTTGTTTCTCTCATTCCAAATGAGCCAGCAACTGAACCCAAACAGAATATTCCACTGAAATGAATGGGGATAGTTGTTCTTCTTGCATAGATTGAACCCCAACTAGTTTCCAAAAAGAGAGTTGAAGAACTGAAATAGTTGTTCTCGACAAACCAGCTTCAACCAAAGGTCATTAGTCCATCTACAATCTCTAAAAATATGCAAGCAAACCTCAGTATGAGATAGACATTGTGGGCAACAATTAAAAGGGGAAAGTAGTGGCATTAAGGAGCCAAAGGAAGTTTCTAATTCTTTATGGTCCCTCCCAATCCCTCGTCGGAGACCAGTGGCATTTAGAGGGATAAATGGGGACGGGCTGAGGAGCTTGTAGGCTGAATTAACAGAGAATGCACCATCCTGCCACATATACCAGATAATTTTGTCCTCCCCATCGTCAAGAGAAGGCAGGATAATTCCAGCAATCTAAGAAATTGTTTTAGCAGAAAGAAACCGATCTAGAATACCCCAATCCCAGGAGCCATCAAAAGAGACGTAATCTTCCACTTTATTAGAAATTTCAAACTCAGGGATCATCACACTGGTAGTCCCATCCAACAAGTTAATACCATTAGGAACCCAGTTGTCGAGCCAGAAGCGGGTACTCTTTCCATTACCACCTTGAATCCTCGAACCTCTAAGGATATATGGCCATGATTTAGCTATACCTATCCATAGATTAGAAGCATTACAACATCTCCTAACCTGCGAAATGAAATCATCCCCTACTTTATACTTGTTCCGTAGGACCTTCACCCAAAGAGCACTTTTATTCGTTAGCATTCCATGGCCTAATTTCATCATAAAATCCTTCTTGACAGACCTAAGTCGTTTCAGACCCAGCCCACCCTCCTTAAGGGGAAAGAATAGATTATCCCAATTCACAAGATGATTTTTTTTTCAGCAGAAAAGCCCCATATAAAACTTCTGGTACCTTTCTCCAACTCATCGCATACCGAAAGAGGAAGATTAGAAGTTTGCGTGGTATAAGATGGCAGAGCATTAAGGATCAAATTTGCAAGAGTAACTCTGCCACTTATAGAAATAGCAGAGGTGTTCCAAGAGTTCAGACTACTATGATTACGGTCAATAATATGACTAAAGGAACCTTTTTGACTCTACCATGGTGCAAGGGAATACCCAAATATTTCCCACGGCCAAGAGTTCAGACTTTGCCAATTTAATGTTAGGAATGTGGCTTCCATACTCAAGAGGGGGGGTGAATTGAGTATTACAAGATTTTTGCAAAAGCCCCCTTCTAGTTTCTAAATAATCATTTCAAGTAAACTTTGATATGTGGAAAGCTAATCAATGCATTCAAACAATC